GGTACTATCTCACCACCTTGCAAAGCTAGACACTATGCTCCTGTTGATGCAGCCTAGAATTGCATTAGCCCTTCTGGCTGCTGAATCTCACTGCTGACTCATCTTTTGCCCAACAGGCAATCTCATAATATAATCTTAATATTATATATTTAACTCACACACCCTGCACCAATTATACAACTTCAGTGATGCAAACCTGACTTACACTGTCAGGCTATTGCTTCATTTAGCCTGATAAAGTCTAGGCAGCAGCTCCCCTGCTAGCTGGGATTCTTTTTGAGTGCAGAGTGCAGAGAATGAGAATGCCAGATGCTGGCACTGTTACTGAAACTAACCGTGTGCACTTGGTCAGGAATCTGGAGCAGGATAGATATGTAACAATTTATTTTAATTTAGTCTGTAACGCTTGCTCTATGACAGAGTCATGCCAACCAATCTTCCAATAATAATAATAATAATAATAATAATAATAATAATAATAATTTATTATTTGTACCCCAGCCACTCTGGGTGGCTTCCAACAAAGATTAAAAATACATTAAAATGTCACACATTAAAAACTTCCTTAAACAGGGCTGCCTTCAGCTGCCTTCTAAATGTCAGGTAGTTGTTTATCTCTTTGACATCTGATGGGAGCGCGTTCCACAGGGAGGGCGCCACTACCGAGAAGGCCCTCTGCCTGGCTCTCTGTGCTTCACGCAGTGAGGGAACCGCCAGAAGCCCCTCAGCACTGGCCCTCAGTGTCCAGGAAGAACGATGGGGGTGGAGATGCTCCTTCAGGTATACTGGGCCAAGGCCGTTTAGGGCTTTAAAGGTCAACACCAACACCAACAGCTCACTTGTCCCCACCCTCTGTGTATGAAAGCAACGCCTGTATATAGAGGAAAAAATCCATAGATTCTATATGATTCTGTCATGGATGTTCAGATTCCTGCATTGCAGGGGGTTGGACTAGATGACCCTCGTGTACCTTCCAGCTCTATGATTCTGTGAGTCTATGAAATCCAGACTTGGTGCTCACAAACAAATATTAAAATAAGACAAATGTGTGAGAGTATTTATGCATTTATCATTCCATTCTTGTAGTTTTCTAATAATTTGGATTTTGTTCTTGCTATAAGAGCTAGGCTGCAAGGTAGCTGTCACTGATTCAAGAAATTCCTAGACTGAAAAGAGACAATCCAGCTACATGAGGAAAGACATATTCTCATTTGAGTCAGAGATATACTTTTATGCTCTCTGTTCTACCTCTAACATGGCAGGCATTAACAATTAGGCCAGAGCTGAGCAAAACCTATTGAATTTCCTTGCAAAACTAGCAGTATTTTAATAAAATGTATTTATTAGGAATCAGCTAATTGCAAGAGCAAATACATTGAAAATAAACAGGAAAGCCATAATCTAGCGTACGGCTAATTGTGCTTAACCCCATTGTTACCGCATATTACTCAGGTAATACCATGGTGTCTCTGCACATGAAGAGAGGTCTAGAAGTATTTTAAGCATTTATGTTTTGTTCAGCATGTTGTGGTTTAAATAATGTTGGATTATTCTGTAATGAAGGGCAATTTATGAATTTGGTTAAAATAAAAACCAAAACCAACAACAAGCTGTGTTAATAAAAGCCTGACAAGAAAGACATAGAACTAGTGGGTAAAAGTTGTAATTAAGCATCACTACACAAAAGTATCACAAATTCTTCAGTTAGGGCCTAGTTAGCCATGACAATGAGTCAGATTGCCATAATTAACTATGAATATAGCAAACAGCCAGAACCACAGAGGTGCAAGGAGTATGCAGTTGTATGACAATAAAAATGTCTGAACAGGGAAACCTGTTACTTGCATATTACAATACAAATATTTATTTTTAAAAGTCATATAAGCAAAGAATCCACCAAATATACAGTCTATAACAAACTAAGGTAGGCAAACTAAGGCCCAGGGGCCGGATCCGGCCCAATCGCCTTCTAAATCTGGCCCACGAACGGTCTGGGAATCAGCGTGTTTTTACATGAGTAGAATGTGTGCTTTTATTTAAAATGCATCTCTGGGTTATTTGTGGGGCATAGGAATTCGTTCATTTCCCCCCTTCAAAATATAGTCCAGCCCCCGACAAGATCTGAGGGACAGTGGACCCAGCCCCCTGCTAAAGTTTGCTGACCCTTGGTCTATAATCACTGTGAAAACCAAACCAAATATTGTGGTTTCTTCCAATAACATCCAGTTTATGATTTCTACTAATTCCATGTTCTATTGGCAATCAATTCTGTCTCCATATTAGTATGTGGCTTGTACACCAGCCTGAAAAGATACTGTAGGTGTACTGAAGAATTAATCCAAATGCTTTATTGATCTACGCTCCACTGCTGTTCCATCAAAGGAAAAATTCCAGAAATGTTATTGATCCAATTTGTTTCTACTTGACTCAACAGGGGTTTGAGCAATCTCACACCTGTTTCATACACACAGACTTATTCATGAACATGAGAGAAATCTCATAAAGAACTAACAATGTATGCAAGCAGTGGTGGGGTTGCATTTTGTCTTTCTCAGAGGCTACCATATTCATTGAGGGTCCTGGCCGTAGACATAATGTTATGGCTTTGCCAGCAATCTTCTTGGCTCTCAGGTGGGGTCCATTAGGTGGGAGCCCCCAGCCTGCATTCTCCTTCGGTCTCAGATATTTTAGCTGCCTGTATTTAGCAGGCACAGTGGGAGTGTCTCTCATAGAGTTCTCTCTAGAAAGTTTGCAGGAAAACTCTGCGAGCTTCAGCTCCTATCATGTGCCTATCTAGCAAAACACGAATTGTTGGTTTGACTGCATTTTAAATATCACCCAACTGGGAGTTCTAAGGAGTTGTTATTTAAATAAATAGTGAAAACTTTGGCTTCTTGGGAATATGATACATTCCACATGACAATGCATTGTGTACTATGCTGGAAGGCCACTCCTGATGCCACTTCAACCACAGGAGCATAGAAGGCTGACTTGTACAGAGTCAGACCATTGATTGTTCTAGCTTAGGCAGTGGCTTCAGAACCCAGAGAGTTCCCAGTCTTTCCCAGCCCTACTTGGCAGTGTCAGGAAGTGACCTAGGGATCAGTGGAGGCTGGTCCATTTGAGCAAATGGGGCACTAATGGCCACAAACCTCAGTCTGCCATCAACCAACTTTCACCTGCCCATCTTACGGTTCTCAATCAGTCCAAAGTGGTGGCTCTGGCTGTCAGCTTCCTCCTCCTTAGCATCAATGTTTCCCTTCTAGAACTCAGCAGAGAGGAAGATGGGGACAAAACTTAAAACAGCTGCCTTTGCCTATCATTGGCTCTGGCTCCACTTATAGCTTATCTCTCTTCTTTCTGTCCCACCAGTACCAATGAGCACCAGCTACCACTACCTGAGATCTTCTGTATGCAATGGCTGTATTCGATCACTGAGCTACACATTTCCATGAAGTGGAGTTGCAATGCTAATGCCAAAGCCTGATGCTTAAGGGCAGCTCCCTTCTGTTTTCTGTGTATGATTGCTCGGCCTTATGAGCTACTGCCTGCCTCATGGGGCTAGAAGGAAATGAAATTTTAGTTCTATCTCCCTTGTATCAATGACCATCATACATGTTGTCTTACGAAGTAATGTACCCTGAGCCTTATGAGGGGCTGGCAGAACTGGGAGACACTAGACTACAGTGGCTTGGTGAAGGAGGATGTACAATTTGGCACCACCACAGCAGCATGCAGAAGAAGAAAAAACTGTCAGGCCATGAGGCTTAAGAAATCTAGTATGGGACTTTTAAAATATTTTGCCAAGGGTGCTCAAACACATGACTTATTGCAAAGTGTCATCCCCCCAATAGATGTTGATGAGTTGAAGCTTTGGGCATTCCACGACACCTTTCCTTTTTGGGGTACCATGTGCTGTGTTAGTGTGAATGGAGAGGTGTTTCTCTGGACCAGCGGCTGCCAACTGGCGTCATTGCTGTATAGAGTAAACAGCCTCCTTAGAACAGATGCTTTGCACCATTCCACACAATGCCCACAATGCCCTTTGGCTGAGCAGCAACCACATCACATATTATTAGGAACGAAGATTATAGAAGGAGCCCCGTGGCCACATGAGAGGGGGACGGAAGAGTTTCCAGCAGAAAAGGATACTTGCCATAAGGTTGGGAGAAGGGGTCTTGCCTTGTGTGTGTGCTTGTGCATGACAAGTAGCAGGAGAGAGGGGTTGCCATGCCTGTTGCATCTTCTCTTTCAGGCATCACGAACCCATCTTGCTTGTGAAACTTGGGTGGGGATGGGAGAGCTGGCGTAGGTGATGTGAGAGCAGGGATTTAAGTCTCCCCAACCTACGTGCAGGACCCAGGAGCATTAGCACCTGCAAATTACAGATGGCAAACCTGGCACAGCAAGCCATTGATCCGCCACCTAAGCAAAATCGGTTAGCTTCTTCGGCCCGCCCAGCAATTCAACAGACCCTTGGTTCCAGGTTCTAGTTCTGGCGGCGCTGGCCAAGGTGCTGAAATCGGCGGCGCCCGCCTAGAAGCCAGCTTTGCTGCTGTCCAGGGTGCTGAAGCCAGAGCGCTGTTCTTGGTGCTGAAGCCAGCTGCCTGTTTGCTAGCAGCTCGCTCGCTCGCTCTCAATTCTCCGCCAGCAGCAGTGACGTAGTCGAACGTGCAAGCGGCTCAGCCCCAGTGTCCCTGAGACGCCAGCTTCTCGAGGGGGCAGAAACTGAGGAGGAGGAGGAGACAGAGAGAGCCAGAGCGGTTCCTGGAGATCGTGTGTGTGTGTGTCTGTATGCGCGCGCGCTTCCTCCCTCCCCCTAATCTCCCCTCTTCTCTGTGTTGCCAGATCAACCCCACCAGCCAACGGGGGGAAAAAAAGAGAGAAGTCGCTTCTCCAGCCCACCGCCCGCCTACCAGCTCACAGCCCATGAGGTACTGTGGCAATGTGTGCGGTCTGGAGCAAAGGTTTACTGCCATCCTAAATTGCCCCCGACGATTATGGGCTGTATTGGCTCCAAAACCACCATCGGTAAGATTGCTTCTACCTTGCGGCGGCGGCGGCGGCAGGGGGGAATGGGGAGGGAGTGTGTGGTTGCACCTCCGATGTGCCAGAACCAGCCGGAGTATGGGGGGATGGAGGTGCCTGGATCGTCCCTGGAGAAGAGATTGGGTGAGGCGGGGGGGCGGGGGCTGCAGCGGAAGAGATCGCTTAATCGTTATAGCGTGTTTGTTTTCTGGAAGAAGGGCAGCAGGGAGCATGAGCCTGTCCCCCCCCCGGAGGGGGTAGAGAGGGGTGTGTGCATGTGCGCGCGGGGGGGGGGGGGAGGTGCGTTGAGGCAAGGCAGGCTCCGCTCGCATGCTGCCTTCAGGAAAGGGCGAGCCTGGCGCCTCGGCTTCCTTGGCGTGGAAATCACGGCCGAGGTGTCGAGGCGGACGATCGCTCCGCTGGCTTCCCGGGGGTTGCTTGGCGCCGCAGCCTTCCAGCAGTTTCAGGGTTGTTTTCCCTCCAGAGCTTGGAAACATCCTCCCCTTTCCTCGGCTCTCTCTCTCCCCCCGCCGCACCCCGCCTCTCCCCGCACCCCGCGCCGACAGCAACGGCCGGAGCCCGGCGCAATTAGCATGCGAGGGCAGACTTGCTGTTGCCAAGGAACCACTCTCCTTAGCAGACCTTCAGCCTCACCGCCCCCCCCCTCCCGGCCGCCTTCTCGCCCCAATCTCAATTCGCATCCGAGAACCAGGAAGGAGAAGGAGGAAACACACCCAGGATTGGCCTCCTGTGTTAGAAGCCTGGCAGCCGGTTCAGCTTCTCCGGCTTGGGCGCAGTAAAGATGGGGGAAGAGGCGAGCAAAGGCTTCGGTCGACGCTCCTGAGCCGAGTCCGGGTCACAGTCTGGAGCAGGAGCCTCTGGCTTTGCAGAGACACTCGGTGCAAGTTGCGTGGAGGGAGCAGGTCAGTTTCACAACTCGGCAGAGGAAGCCAAGGACTGCCAGGGGGAAGGGGACCCTGTTCTTGAATCATGCTTTAGGGAGGCGGTGTGTGGATCTGGCGAGCAGGACCCCCAGGAAGTAGTGGCAGAGAGGGCTAGCCTGCTGCCTTGGGCAATGCATCCCATATGGCGTTATTTCTGCTTGAAATTTGCTCCTAATCCCTTTTCTCAGGGGCTATCCCCCCCCCCCCGCCATACACACACCTAGTTGTGAACAGCAGGTCTCTTCAACCCAGAATCTGAGTTCACTCCTAGGAATAAAGTTCTGTTTTAAATCAATGGGATGCCTGCCGGCTATCTTCCCTGACCTCATGCCCTCCAGACGTTTTGAGACTACTACAACACTCGCCAGCTGCCGCCAGCCCAGAAGTTGTTCTCCAAAATATCTGGAGGACACCAGGTTGGAAAGGCTGGATGAGAGTGCCTAGAGCTGGGATGCTAGATAGAGTCCAGGAAGCAGTAGGAAGAAAGTTTTCAGGAATGGGGAGAAAGAAGACCTGTAACTTAGCACAGCATGTATGCATTATGCGTTTGAGTGCTTCATAGCCTCCTCTTCTGTGCAGAGCAGCTTACAGAAAGATCAAACATCATATAACAATGAAAACAGAAAGAACTATGAAAAATAACAACAATGCATTAAAAAAACAAAAACAGCAGAGGAAGATGCCGTTGCCACACAAAACTGGCAGCTCTAAAGGCCTTTTAACCTGGCCCCAATCAGATATCAAATTTGGTGCCAGCCAAGACCTGTGCATCTCTTCAACTGTGGGGGACGCAGGTCAGAGCTTCTGAGGATTATGTTAATACGTGGGCAGTTTTGTGTCTTGTGTGCTAGAGAAAGTGGGTGATATTAATAGCAGAAACTGACAATGGTTATAACAAGCACACATACCCTGTTCGTCTTTTGGGAAACTTCCCCTTCAGGGCATGTGAACATTGACTCCAATGTCCAGACGCCCTCTGCAGTATGTTCAGAGGCCCGTTCCATGTCCTGAGGCATTTCCCCTCTGAATATCTCAGGTGCTGGGTACAAGCAACAAGAGGGAGGGTGTTGTTTTCGTGCCTTGTTCATCAGGCATTTGGCTGACTGACTGTTGGGAACGTAATGCCTTTCTTTGTCTGCTCCATCAGGAGTTGTAGCATTTGCTTGCATTGCCTGTTTGGGCTAATAGGATGTCATTTTTGTCTCTGGTCCAGGCTTCTGTAATGTGCTTGGATGTGTCCACCTGTCTGAGCTTCTCCTTTAATACCCGGGTTGAAGGCTCCAGAAACACCCTCTGTTTGGCAGCACTATGCTTTTTAATATTGATGGCTCCCCACTCAGCAGTGGTTGGCCCTTGGGACTGGTGGGGCAAAGTGCAGGGAGGCCAACAGTAGGTGACAGGCAGAGGCATCACTAGTTTTAGTTTCTCCCCCATCCTCCTTCCTGCTGAGTTTTACAAGGGCAAGACTGAGGCTGAAGAGAAGGGGAAAGCTGACAACTAGGTTTGTAAGTAAGAAGGCAGGCAGGTAGGGGTTGTTTGGAGGCAAGTGGAGGTTGGTGAGGCAGTCCCCTATTTGCTGTAATGGTAGAGCTCCACTGCCCAAATCCTCCTCCTCCTTCTGGATACCACATTCAACTGCAAGTTCCTTACATCTTTGTGTACTCAGCCAACACACATGTAACCTTCGAAGAGAGGGATCCTACCTGTATATCTCATCATGCTTAAATTTACCACCTCCTGGGTTCCCTTACTGTGGCCAGTCTTTAATATGCTGGTGTGGTGGAAGTAGTTCTGTTCAGTCTGGAAGTCGTGTCCCCCCCCCACCGCCCCCGCAACCCCCACACTATTATTTAATTACACGTGTATCTGACGTGTAATTTAGGCAGCAGTAAATTACACTGGGCAAAGTGTAATAAAACTCTTTATTAGCAAACACAGGATCTGTGCAGCAGTGCCAGGCCTAATAAGCACGGCAACTCATCTCTGGCAGGTCTTGTCCCCATGAAGCAGTTGCTGAGACTGAAGGTCCCTGCCTCCCCACAGCTGCCTAAATCCCCTCCTCTCCAGGGTTTTCTCCAAGCAACTTGAGACTGCGCCTGTACAAATCTGACTTCTCCCCTGCCCCTTTCATGCCTCTTCTGGTTCTGGGAGACTGGGGGAAAGGGGGCTTGTAGCAGGAAAAGGAAACACACGTGCCTCTTCACCAGCTGGACTCATCTCTGTCTCTTGGCCTCCCTTCTCTCCTGCTTCAGCTTCTGTTTCTGATTCTGGACTGCTCTCTGTCAGAGACTCCCCTCTCTCACTCAGCCCTGTTACCTGTTCAGCTTCTGACACCTCCTCCTCCTCCCAGTCTTCTCCCTTTTCTCCCTTGGACCACTTATCATAATCTCACCACCACTTCCTGAGTTCTGAGCCTTCTTCTCTTGGGGTATTCCCAGCTGGTTCCTCCTCCCATTCCTCTGCCTCCAACCAGTCAGTGGCCGTATCTTACTCTTCCGCTATGGGCTCAGGGCAGTATATATGGCATTTTTATCCTCTGGAGAATATAACATATAGGCTGAGAGAAAGTGGCTGACCCAAGATCAGCACTTCACAAGGAACAATCTTGACCGCACTCAGTTCATGTTCAACTGAGCTCTGGCATTGAAAACAGCTGTTAGGACCAAGCCTTGGAAGATTCTACATCCTAGGGTTTACAAAAAGTCCAGTTCACCTTATCCCAGGTGTTAGCCCCTAGACCTGCCTGTTCAATCTTTTCTTGAATGCCCTTATATGTGCATACAGTATATACACTGCAAATACATATAGTGTAATTCTAAGCATGCTTATTCAGTAGTAAGTCCTGTTGGCTTCTGTGTGACTTAGTCCCTAGTAAATGAGCAAAGGACTGTTGTCCTAAATTGGTTTTAATACTCATTCCCTCTCTCTGGAATCCTGGAAGCTGCTATAAGTCGGCAATTCCCAAGCAACAGTTACAGGTCCCAGGATTCTTTGAGGGCAGCTATGACTGTTATGCTGGTATAATTATCACATGGAAAGTTGTGCATATGTGCCCTTAATAAAACTCAATGTTCCCTAAACAAGAGTAGGCTTTGCTCACCCAACCCCGATCCTAACAATGTTAATTTGAGAATAAGTACTGTTGGTTTCAAGGGGACTTACTTTCAAGCAAAATCACTTACAGCTAGACAGACCTATACACCTTCCACGATAATACTCAGAATTTAAATGGTGCAAGGACTTGGAAAACATTAGCTCAGTCATCTGCACAAGGTTGTTGTTGTTTAGTCATTTAGTCGTGTCCGACTCTTTGTGACCCCATGGACCAGAGCACGCCAGGCACTCCTGTCTTCCACTGCCTCCCGCAGTTTGGTTAAACTCATGTTGGTAGCTTTGAGAACACTGTCCAACCATCTCATCCTCTGTCGTCCCCTTCTCCTTGTGCCCTCCATCTTTCCCAATATCAGGGTCTTTTCCAGGGAGTCTTCTCTTCTCATGAGGTGGCCAAAGTATTGGAGCCTTAGCTTCAGGATCTGTCCTTCCAGTGAGCACCCAGGGCTAATTTCCTTCAGAATGGATAGGTTTGATCTTCTTGCAGTCCATGGGACTCTCCAGAGTCTCCTCCAGCACCATAATTCAGAAGCATCAATTCTTCGGCAATCAGCCTTCTTTATGGTCCAGCTCTCACTGCACAAGGCAGCTGGTATTATTATCCCCATGTTATGGATCAGACAGGATGCAGTAGTGACTGAAGCAGAAGTGAGGAGGAGGTTGACAAAGGCAACCTATTGAGCGGAAGGCAAAGGCATGATTTGAAATGGGGACTTCTTGATTTCTCAGCTCACAATGTAATCCTATGCATGTTTCAACAGAAGTAAAATCTACTAAGTTCAATGGGGCTTGCCTCCTGGTAAATACATTTGCACACTTTATTTATTTATCTAAAATATATATATCACATGCCCTATGCCACTTCATCTTGGGGAAGGGCATGTAACGTATTTAATGCAATAATTACAAAATAACACCCTCAAAATAAGAAATAACCAGCGCTGGCCTTGATGTAAAAATGCTTCCTTGATGCCAGGCTGACCTAAGAGGGGAAGGTATTCTGTAACCAAGGTGCCATCCAGGAGTGAGAATCACTGAACTCAGTGGGACTTAACTGGGAGTAAACATAGGATTATATTATGTCTCCTAGCCCTCTTGCTATAGTAAATGCAACTGGATTTCCTCCGTAAGATTGAAGCATAAGAAATGCTTGGCACATCCCAAACCAGAATCTTTCCTCACAATATTTCCAGAATCCTTTGTTTAGATTTGCTGGGGAAATGGAATCCCAGACCGTGAGAAAATGAAGCAGTCACCACTAGCACCTCAAACTGGAATGAAGATATCCAGTGAAATGGTCCAATGCAGCAAAAAGCACCAGCAATGCTGACCACGCCATGTTTGAATTTATGTATCTTTGCCAGCATGAGACCTAGAAACTTGCTTAACTGTTTTGGAAAACAAACTAGTTTCTTCATTATTTTTGACCAGGGCCTTGAACTGCCAAAAGAGGGAGCGGAGGAGGAGGATCCACGTAGCCTGTGGGTCCATCTGCCTAGCCCATCTGTAGTGTGAGTATTTTAGTGTAGGAGCTTCAAGGCAGATGGATGGGATGTAGAAACCATGCTAAGCTCACCAGAAAGGTGGGTGGATATGAGGGAGAACCTCCTGCGCACATTTCACAGCCCAGAAGCTATTGGCATTTTGCTGTGGGTGGAATTATTTGTTTCTTTAAAGAAAGAAAAGAAACATTGTTTTTCCCCTTGGATTTTTATTTAGGAAAAAAGAACTGGACAAAAAAACCCATTACCAGTTCTCTCATGATGAATTTCGGCTTCTTGTTGTGAGCTGGTGATTTCCTTAGGGTCCTGGCCAACATTGAGCTTTATAGAAAAGCTAATTTGAGTGGTGAATGGAGGCTGTTGACTTATGAAGCTAATGCCTCATCCTGAATCAGACCATGGGGGTCTACTTCCTGATATCCTCTTAGACAGGTGATACCAAGGATTGAACCTGAGACCTTCTGCATGTGAAGCATATATCTACCACTCAGCTCCATTCTCCCTTGCAATAGGAAGCAGCAACCTTATACCAGGTCAGGTATCCATCTAGCCTAGTATTCTCTGCTCTGACTGGCAGCAGCCCTCTACAGATGCAGGCAGGAGTCTTTCTCAGTCCTGTTTCAAAATGTCAGGGAACGAACCAGGGATCTTCTGCTTGTAACCCATCTCTCTTGATACGCTTCATCTGGCTGCCAAAGTTATCGCTTCCTCAATGTACCCCTTCTTTGGAGAAAGGACAGTGAAAATGTCTCAGGGGGAGCCAAGCCAATTGCCCCCACCATTCGATAAGCTAGTTTTTCAGCTTGTGCAGAACGTGTAGGTGGACAAGCAACAGCAATCCCCAAAAGCAGCAGCACACTCTCGCAGCCCCCATAAGGCTGCTTCTTGCCAGCTGGCTTAAAACACACACTTTGTTTTCCTTCTTTCCCTCACTTTCAAACAGGGGAGGCAGGGCATTCATAGTTCAACACTAACTCAGGCAGGTAGGGAGTTCCATGAGGCACACATACCAGTCATCTAAGAGTCAACTGGTCATTCTTTAGATGGAGATCTTGTTGTTCACTCATACAACTTAGTGTCAAGTAGTACAAAAACCTGTGTTTGGTGGTGGTGGGCACTGCCTCTGTTTTTGGACAGGAGTCGATTACTGGCAAATTCAGGTTGATTTGGAACTCTTGCGCAACAAACAAAATTTGACTTTTTGTGATAAGTTAAAGTGCAGGGAAGATGCACTGACAACTGTGGGATAACACCTGCTTATTCCAGTGTTGTCCAACCTCCCAGGAAACAAATCAGAATGAATGCTCAATAAGTAGCCAATGTTGTCTCATTTCCCTGCAGACAAGTCAGGCGATCAATATCACCTCAATAAACAGGCGATCTGGAAGTGACCTGCAAATATTTAGGAAGAATTCAGAAAAATCAGGAACTAGGAACGTTGGAGAATTCAGTTGGAAACGGGAGCGGAAATTGCAGCAAATCACAGGTCTGCCCGAGGTCAGGAATGCAAAACATTATTAGCTGACTTTTTTTTATCCCACAAACGTTTCATAAATAATTACATGGTTTCCCTTCCCTGGAAATGCACTGAGGTTAATGACATAACTCATTACGTCCTTAACTATATGAGTTCCACCCACAACAGACAGCGAGGCAAATCGCCTAGGTTTTAGCAGAAGCCGATCCGTGATGGAATGGAGGCATAGGGCAAGCACTTGTGTGGAGCAGAGAGACTGAGGAAGAAGGGATGAGGGAGGGGTATGAGGAGCACACGGCAGACCATTCCCTTTCTGCCCAGTGGGGCTTTCCTACCCTTTGTGTATCCTTTGACTCCTACTGCTTTGGGAGACCATCAAAACCCTCCCCTTTGCAGGTGCCGTATTAAAAGCCACTCTGCGAAGGCCTCACTGGCAGCCCCTTTAATTCCCCCTTGCGTGCTGCTGAACCCTACAATTGTGGGGAAGTTGCTCAACCCCTTAGTTGTGGGGGAGTCATAACAGCCCATTCTGCCACTTCAGAGTCCTTTTCACTTTCGCTCACAGCAGTGTGTCCCTGCAGAGGTGTTAGGAATCCTGTTCCTTAGCAATCAGTGGCACAGGGCACCGTTTTGTTTTTTATGGGCATTGTGTGCGTTGAAGTTCTCCTCCTTTATTTCAGCTTCACTTGTTGCATCTTGTGATAAATTATTGACTTCATTGGTCAGTGGGTGGGTGTGTTTTTCTGTCTCTTCCCTGGCAAGAGGAGTCCTTGGTGTGATGGCACCAGAAAGAAAACCCTCTGCAAACATGCAGCAAAATCCCACGCTGGAGCAATATACAGTCTCCCCTTTGCACAGAGTAAACATCCTGTGTAACCTTTCCTTTCCACAGAGGGTACAGGAAAATGCACATTCCTGCTTCCCATTGATTTTTTTGATTTTTTTTAGCATCTCCTGTGAAACAGAGGGACCAGTTCTGCTGACTTTCTCTCCTTTTGCCAAGACTTTCTGCTCAGTCTCTCATTTCCCCAGCCTGCCAGAGTATCAGCATGAGGGTGTTCAGACATAGCTTTTGTCCCTGAATCTGTTTAGCTGAAACCCAACCGTTTTGCTCAGGAGTGGGTCTGGTCTCTTCCCATGCCTTTGTGCTGATGGGAAGCTGTTCATTATAGTGACCTGGTGCCCTCTAGTTCAGTTGGTAGAGCATGAGATCTCAAGGTTGGGGGTTTGAGCCCCACATTGGGCAAAAGATTCCTGTATTGCAGGGGGTTGGACCCTCGTGGTCCCTTCCAAGTCTATGATTCTAAGGTTCCATCTAAGATATTTTGGACCACAGGTTCCATCAGCCACAACCAGCATGGTTATTCCATAAAGGTACTATCAGGCACCAGGCCATGTGGGAAGGGCCCAGGATGCAGATTGGGGATAGCCAAAGTGATGCCCTGCAAATGCTGTTGGACTTCAGCTCCCATCATCCTATTGGCCTGCTGGCTGGGGCTGATGGGAGTTGGAGACCAGCAACAACTGGAGGGAACTATGTTGGCATAGATCCTTTCTATGCTAGTGTGCTCTTGGATGCTGGAAGGGATGCAGCTAGTATGGGAAGGAATCACAGTGTGGGAGTTCCCCACACAATCCAGGCTTGGAAGGAGCTGGGATGTCATAAGTTCCCCAGCATCACTAACCTGGGGTTAAGCAAGGCTTTCCAGGGGACAGAATGGAGGAAGGGCAAATCACCCACCCTGTCCTTTCAATGTGAAGAACCTTTTAATTCCCTTCCCTTCCTGTTTGGTGCTCTCTCAGGCCTGATGGATGCATTCCTCTTGGAATGGGGTAGCCTGCCATCAGTTGCCTGTGGTCTGCTCTCCAGCAGCTCCAATGCTGTGGGTGCAGAGGAATGGTGTGGGTCAGCCAAATGATGTGGCCAACAGGGCAATACAAGAGTAGGAAGGAACCAGATCATTCTGCCACCCACTCAGGGAGTTCTTGCCAGCCTTTGCTGGAGCTCCATGAGTCAGGAGGACACAGCAGGCAACAACTCCCACACTACTCCTATAACTTATGGACTGGGTCACAGAGAGGACAGGACATAGTTTCAAGGGGATTCAGTGCTTCTTTAATTGAACCCATTTTCGAGGCTTGAAGCTGGAGGTCTTTGCTGGGGCTACCAGGCTTTCATGCTACCAAAGAAATCTTGGTTTGTTGCAAGAGTTTCAGCTGATTGATTTCCCAGGCACATTTGAATAAATGTGTGTACAAGTAAAAACAATAGTTCTGAAGCAGAAAGCATACCTTTTTTTTAATGTTGTGTGTGATATGTGTTGTCTTAGCAGGAGCACATCCTTTCTGGATGTAAGAGAATGAGGCATGACTCTTTAAAGATGCTTTTTGCCTTCTGCATTTTCCTATACGTGCCCATAAGTACTCCTTTTAATCTGCTGCCTCATTAACCAGGGTAGGGTTGGGTTTTTTTAAAAAAAAAAAACAATGCGGCCTTCTGCTGTGTTACTGGGAAGTTAGTCTCCCTGCATTCAAAAGGGGTTGAGCATGCCAGGGGTTGCAGCTCTGGCCAATCAGAAGTTAATAGACCGCAGCACAAGTCTTTTATTATTATTATTAATCTGCGCCATTGAAATGCAATCTCTATCATTTCCAGGTAGAATTGGCAATGTGTCCTGCCTGGAGCCCTGGAGAGCAGCTGCTGCTCAGTGTAGTCAGGGGTCAGCAAACTTTTTCAGCAGGGGGCCGGTACACTGCCCCTCAGACCTTGTGGGGGGCCGGATTGTATTTTTTGGGGGGAAATGAATGAATTCCTATGCCCCACAAATAACCCAGAGATGCATTTTAAATAAAAGGACACATTCTACTTATGTAAAAACACACTGATTCCCGGACCGTCCACAGGCTGGATTTAGAAGGCGATTGGGCCGGATCCGGCCCCCAAGCCTTAGTTTGCCTACCCATGGTGTAGATAGTACTGAACTGGATGTACCAATGATCTGACTCAATATAAGGCAGCTTCCTCTCTTCCTGCCTTATGCTCCTTTCTGGACTCTGGGCAGGGCAAGCGTTTTCACTCCCCTTTGCTAGCTCAGGGTACCCTCCCCATTTTGTGTCTCATCTATTTCTGGCAGAGAAAGGTCACATTGACACCCCTGTTTTTTGGCACTGCTGCAGTTTCAGCAGGACCTGGCCCTCCGGACTGTCCTTCTCACTGTTCATCAGAAATCTTTGCCTCCTGTCCCTTGCCAGTGCTGATGGCAGCCCCGGGACCGGTGATTGCTGCCCCTGCTCTCGATTGATGCTGAGTCTCCGGTTAAAAAAACTTTGACACACATTCTTTGATTTGTGTGTGTGTTTAATGTCTCAAAGTGGGAGGGAGAGAATCTGTGCTATTTCTGCGGAAGCTGCTGGCACCCCCCACCCCCCGGCATGATGGCAGCACGCTCGGAAATTAATGGCTCGCCTGTTAGGAACGCAGTGTCCCTTTCATGGAAGGGAGACTCACGCTGCCGGATGCAGTCTCTTCTTGGAAGAAAATCCTGGCTAGATTCACACATCCTTCCTTCCTCCTTTTCTGCACCTCTCTCTCTCTCTCTCTCCATCTCTTCCCTTCCCACTGACACAAAGTCTGTTTCAGTCTGTGTGCACATTACCATCCACTCTGGGACCAGTGCGCTCCCAATACTGCTGGCTGTAGAATCCGCATTCCCCACAATGCAGAACTGGCTCGTAGTTTCTTGAGAAATGCTGTTTGATGCTTTTCCCACTCAAACCAGCTTCCAACTGGTTTGAATCATAAGCTACACTCATTTCACTGTTCAAAGATCCCCCTATTTTCCAGGAACAGTCCCGGATTTACAGAAGCCATCCCGGTTTCTGATTTGATCCCAGAATGTTCCTGTTTTCCTTATGATGTCCCTATTTTCATTGGATAAATGTTGGAGGGTATGGAATTATATGACCCCCAAGGCATCTGAAGGCAGCCATGTATAGGGAAGTTTTTTAATGTTTGATGTTTTATTATGTTTTTATGTATATTGGAAGCTGTTCGAGTGACTCGAGAAACCCAGTCAGATGAATGGAGTATAAATAGTAAAATGATGGTGGTGATGTTGATGATGATAATGATAGAATGTCCCTATTTTCATCAGAGAAATGTTGGAAGGTATGGGTTCAGCTGAGGTGTGTACACTTGAGAAAGCCATTGCACATGTGCAGATGACTGCTTCGTGAATAGTTGTTTGGGGTTTGTAGGTGTAGGAAAAACCAAACTGATAACGTCCCTGCTCTCGTTCTGGAGTGTGGGAAATGACTTCGCAGCAAATGACCTTTTAAGCCTCTAATGTGTACCTAGCCTTAGTTTCCATAGAATCCCTGAGCCAGAGGGACGAGCCTCCCTTTCCCACGACAGTGACGATGCACAGCAAATGCTGCCTTTTGCAGGAACTTTGCCCCATTTACAGTCAGTAGATATTTAAGGCTGCTTTGCATGTTCCATAGTTTGCATGCTATATTGCAAGAAGTTCTTTGGCCTGTGTTCATTCATGCATTATCCTCAGTATGCTTTTTGCATATCCCAGGAACCCAAACCACATGGGAACATCTCTCTGCTTAGTTAGCCACGAGCATGAAACAGTATCTATGTGGTTTGGGCTGAATTTCACTTGTAAGTTTTATCGACTGGAAGGGAGCTGGTTTCCACTCTCCCTTGCTTAGGAGCTGAGCGACACTGTGAAGACCCTTGCATGATGTATTATTGGGGGTTGGACTGTACCACTTCAGGATGCAAATGGATGTGTGTGTGTGTGTGTGTGTGTGTGTGTGTGTGAGAGAGAGAGAGAGAGAGAGAGAGAGAGAGAGAGAGAGAGAATGATTATGCTCATTGATCACACTTCCTACCAAAGTATAGGAATGTAGGAAGTTGCCTTATGCCAAATCAGACCACTGGTCCATGTAGCTCAGTATTGCTTACACAGACCAGCAGCATCTCTCCAGGGTTTCAGGAAGAGGCTTTTCTCAGGCCTACTTAGAGATGCTGGAAACTGAACCAGAGATCTTCTTCATGCATAACAGCTGCTCTCTCACTGAGCCACGTCCCTTCTCTCAAAATCAGCAAGGCAGAAAAAAACCCTGGCTTTGAACATTCCCTTTGACTACTTTTGTATGCATAGTGATCCTTAAAAAAACCAACACCCCATGACAACAACATTTGTGTGTGTGTAAATGTTCATATTCAAGCATTTGTTCCATTTCCCTGGAGGTTGAAGGGATACAATCCATCAAGAGCTGTACCACGTAATTCTGTAATAGATCATGTACATCAGCAGACAGGCTGGAGGCAGACTGTAGTTTGTGAATTTAAAAATCCAGACGATGGCAATGCCTTTTATTAGGCCAGCCGGAATGTCACAGAGGAAGTGCGCAAGCCTTCAGGTTCTCCAGAACTCTTCATCAGGCTTGATGCTGCAGCACAGAGCAAGAGGAAGGGCAGAGGAAAAGAGCTGACGACGCCTCGGAGCCGGTGGCTGGTCAGAGGCTTAAGACGCGGCAAGGAGGAGCCAGTGGCAGACATTGAAAGGAGGATCCGCGAGGGGCTATGCAGGTCTCATTGCACCTAACACTGCAGCAGAGGGGAAAAGGAAAACATACCCTCATGTTTGAAAAAATAAAAACAAAGTATTATATGTTCCTTTCCTACTCCGTGGCAGTGTTAGGTGCATAGAACCTCACAGAGCCCCTTTTCAATGTCTGCAACCTGCTCCCACATCCCATCTAAAGGCTCTGACCAGAGGCAGACCCCAAGCCAACTCCTCTCCCCCCCAGCTTTGCTCTGGCCTGATGAAGAGACCTGTGGACCTGAAAGGTTTGCACATTATTCTGGGTTGGCCTAATAAAGGTATTGCCCTCATCAGTGGCAGACTTTGGGCTTTCACATTTTGGAGGCACCCTGTCTGATGCCAAAGTTCAGCACACATACCCTCTTCACACCTTCCATTCTATATCATTGTTGCATTTCCAGATAATTTTTATTGATGTTCGTGTAAATATAAGGACAACGTATAGCTACAGTAACTTGTCCAGTGGTGCATTCTTGCTAAGTTTCATATGCAGTACACCATACGCAAGCAATATGTTAATTTATGCAATCTCGAATCGAGTATCCTCTCCAACACCCATCTTGGCTCAGTGCCCAGTGCGGGTGAACCCATCGTTCTCCCCGAAATTCAGCTTTGCCCTCATTCGG